AACTAATAACACTTTTAGATATTTGGATGATATTTCGGCTCTCAATAATGACGACTTCAGTATGTACACTAAAGAGATTTATCCTGCTGAACTGACTTTAAAAATAGCTAATACTAACAATGAACACTGCCCTTTCCTGGATTTTGATATCTATATCTTTAACGGGAAGCTTAATACCAAAACTTACGATAAAAGAGATGATTTTTCATTTCCTATTGTTAATTATTCATTTTTAGATGGTAACGTTCCCTTGTCACCATCTTATGGTGTTTATATCTCAACTTGTTCGATTCGCTCGTGTATGTAACAACGTATTTGATTTTAACGAAAGAAATCTCTGTAATACTGAAAAATTATTACACCAGGGTTTTCGATATCACAAACTAGTCAAAACATTTTCTAAATTTTATCATAGGTACAGGGACATCATTCGTAAATATAAATCAACGTGCAGACATCTTATACGTTCAGGTATTTCACATCCAATATTTTATGGTAATATTCTATATAAAGCACAAAAATGTCGGCAGTCACCTCAAAAGCTAACCAAACCTTTAAACAGACTTATTCAGAAGGGATATAGTTACGATACTGTTGTCAGGTCATTAAAGATGGCACATTTTGGAATTAATATTGAATCACTCATAGGGTATTTGCATCGGAAATAAACACATTTATTCTAAAACCAGTTGTTGGCATGATACGGGTTATGTTCTTCTCATAAATTTTATGATGGTATGATACTAAACCCCTAACGGGAGGGATTGTGCTTGATTTTCATATGATGAAGACATAATCTTTCAATCAGTTTAATAGAGGTCTGGAGCTGCCATTTCAGTAACTGCTAGTAGTCCTTTGTTAATTTATGTATCATTGTCATTTTGCTTAGTTTCTTCTGTTACCTATTCTGACATCGGACTCGGACTTCTTTTAAACTGAGTTTTACTGTGCGTATTGCCGTGTGTTTGTTTATTCTACATTGGCTAGAGGTATAGAAGGGGGGTTGAGATCTCACAAAACAGGTTTATCCCCGCCGCATTTTTGCGCATGTCCCAAGTCAGGGCTTCTGGCCATTGTTAGTCTTGTATGTTTTTTTAATTTTAGTTCATTTATATATTTCATAGTTTAGTGTGACGTCCATTTTCACTGAACGAGTACACATTTTTGTTTAGGGGCCAGCTGAAGCCCGCCTCGGGGTGCGGGATTTTCTCGCTGTGTTGAAGACCCATTGGTTGCCTTGGGCTGTTTTCTGCTCTTTGGTCGGGTTGTTGTCTCTTTGACACATTCCCCATTTCCATTCTTAATTTTATACTATATACTTCATATTCATACAGCCGTTGATATCTTGTAATTCATATGGTTGCAGGAGCACAATTATTCGAAATGCATTTTCCATAGGGTACCAGTGATTTTTCCATATCTTATTTCTCGAAGAATACACAAACTAGAAAAAATGGGTAGCAGTTCCTGTTACTAGAAATATCTGCGTTGTTCAAAGGTAAAAAAAATAAATATGCGCTAAAGTTGACTAAAAATGCAGTTGAAAAAAAAAACGTTTAGGTCTTCGCTTATTGGAACATGCTTATTTTTAATTGCTCTTACGTACATAAATTGAATATATTTTATACACTTCGTAAAATATGAATTTATTTTCTGGATTTTTTTTTAAACCTAAATGGGTTCGCTTTCGATTAAACGTAGTTCCAATCCTGTATCATCCAACTAGAAGCCGCACAAGATTTTATTCCGACTAAAAAGTTGCCGGTAAAATGTAAACAAATAATTGGGTTCATGTGACCATATGTTACAGTTATAAGAACCATAGATTGGGTTCATGTGACCATATGTTACAGTTATAAGAACCATAGATAAAAGTGTTCTAAATGTCCTATATCAAACAAGAAATTTTACATTTTCTATTTACAAATGTTTGTACAAATATTTGAGTTAAGAATTTATTCAGTTAAATAAAATACACAAGACTTTATGTTATATTTTGATTGTTCCTTTTCTGATCTCTGAATTTGTCTTCACTTTCAAAAGAGAATAAAGTGAAAAGACTTAATTTTTAAGGCACTTTAAAAGTCTTTGACGGAAAAAGCGAAGACGAATTAAAGAATCAGTATTTCAAAGATGTTATTTTTTGTGGATGTTGCATAATCTTAAAAAGTAGGAAATAAAGTGAAACAAACAAATAAAAATTATCACAAAAATTTTCTCTAACGAGAAAGAACATATGAAATCAATAGACTGTTCTATATTTTAAAAGTCGCGTCCTTGCAAATTTGAATACGGAATTTCTTTCTTTTTTTTTCATTGCACAAAAAATACCTGACCCACAGAAATAAATCATTAGATCATCTTTTAATAGAACTTGAGACTTTCCTTTTTGTACGATATATGCAAATCAAAATGTTAACCGTATTGTTATAGCTAACTATATAACTATATAACTTTAAAATGTACTCATAGTTGACCAGTGTGTTCATTTTGAACTCATTCTGATTTAACTGTTTCAATGTAAATATTTAACATTACTTAAAACATTTATGCAAAACCATTGTAATTTCATAACTGTTAAAAGAGCAATTCTTAACCTTTTGTATCCGTTTCTAAAGGTCCACTTCGTCACGGTTTTATACTATGGGGACTTTTATCGTATGTCAATAACAATCACAACCAAGTCAAGCCGCCATTCAACATGGTGTTCAAAGCGGTTTTGCAAATAGAATCAATGAATTCCTTAATACTTATCTTTTATTGGAATTTGAGAGCCTTTATATAAGCCAGGAGTGATTGTTCTATTGGCATCAGCAGCAATATGGATAAACAGATATGTGGAATGATTGCCAATTAGACACATTTTCATTAGTGATGTAAGTACGAGATTGTAAACAACTACTATTATCACACCGCGGGTAAATTATGACGTTGTGATTGGTTAAACGCCGTCACGTGGTGACCCCCTATGGATCCGTATGGGGATAGTAAATTTCATATGGGGTTCATGACGTCACGTCTACTATTAATGGTGACGTCATTCGACCATGGATTTTACTAACCCTCTATGGATCCGTAGGGGGTCAGTAGCAAACCATATAACTTGTAGTATAAGTCACTGTACGGCCTTTAACAAAGTAAAATAACAAAAATACCAAGGAATATTCAAAACGAAAAGTCCTTTGTCAAATGAAAAAACCAAAAGCTCAAACTCATCAAACGAATGAAAAACAACTGTCATATTTCTAACTTGGTACAGGTGTTTCCTTATGTAGAAAATGGTGGATTAATATAAAAATAAGGAGATGTGGTATGATTGCCAATGAGACAACTATCCACCCAAGTTCAATTGAAGTGGATGTAAGCAATTATGGACAACCGTACGGCCTTCAACAATGAGAAAAACGCATACCGTATAGTCGGCTATAAAAGACCCCGACATGCAAAATATGAAACAATTCAATTGAGAAAACAAACCGCCTAATTTATTACAAAACAACTTACGAAAAACAAATATGACAGACATGAAAAACGACAACCACTAAACTACAGCCTCTTGACATGGGCAGGCACATACAGAATGTGGAGGAATTTAACATGTTTGTGAGCTCTCAACCCTCCCCTAACCTAGGACAGTGGTGTTACAGCACAACATAAGAACAAACTATAAAAAAATCACTTGAAAATGGCTCATTTTTATATTAACTCATCAGATCGATACAAAGAAGAAAAACATCCAACAAAAAACAGACCGGACGTGGCATAATCTCTAAAAATCATAGACCCAAAGTACAGATCTGAGAGTACTCGCAGTTACTGACAGCTAGTTCAAAGCCAATAACAAGTAATAAAAGGAATTATGTATCTCTAAGACTAATATATAGTCTCACTATAAAAACACAAATAACTTTTTCAACAAAGAAAAACAAAATGGCATATAGACACCCTATAGACAAAGTACTAGTGCATAAGCAAAAATGAAAGACAAGAATACAAAAAATGACCATAGCACAATAACACAATGACGGGATGTATTGATACCGGGCTACGCCAAAAGTATATCACCAAAAAGGCAATAAACAGTAAAGGTTAATAATTTACAAAGACAAATAAAAGAACACTATAACACGTAATTAAGATGATAAACAACGTCAGTACCTAGAATCTATAGTATTATTTGTGAAGTTGATACGGAATATTTATCAACAAGGTCTTGGTATCTTCCGATGAACCCATTTAGAAAAAAGGAAGAGACGTTCTTTGACATAGCCTTGGTTCATCAACTTTCTGCTAAGTTACTGGTGACGTTTTATAAAGTCTGAGTAGCAGCTGCAAGCAAAGTACAAAACCCATACCGTATGGTATGGATAGAAATAAAGCGCCCCGGCATGACAAAACGTGATAGAAAAGATAACCAAATCAACTTTTTAAAGAAATGAATGACAGCTTAATAAACAATAACGACCGAAATTTTTACAGTGGTGAAGTGGCGATTCTCAACTTTAAAATTTTTTCACAAATCATGTTAAAAATGGCGGAATTGGACACGAAGAATCTTATATCATTTGAACTCATTTGTGTCTCATTGGCAATCATACCACACATCATTATTTTTATATTAGAATATCTGCATTGCCAGCACAACTGCATTTGTGTTAAAGAAAAAATTAACAGAAATCTATTGAAATACAGCACTGCTATTCATTTAGGCATAAAGCTAAAAATAACGATCTTAAGAACTTAAAAATTAGATTACTGCTAGAAAAAGAGGCAGAATGTTGCTTTTGAACAAGATACATACGGAACTATTTAAAGCGTTGTTGATTGATAGTTTGCCACTCTCCATAAACGGAGCATCAGATTTAACGTCTTTAACGTATTTCCCTGACATTTTGAATCTCCTTATCCTTGATATATTCTAAGTCAAAATGGCAAACTTACCCATCGTGCATCACAAAAATTGTTTATAGATAATTATATAATGAACGAGTCTTTCTTACCTTACTCCAACAGGTTTTTTAAGCACTTCTCCTGTTAATAGAAAAAATGATAAAATTATTCTCAAAATGAGACAAAACGTTTGCAAGAGCGGGAAATGTACATGATGTTACTATTTTACATGACATACAATACGTGTTTCTTCATCAAGAACAATCAGGACTCATAGATTGGATAAGCAAAATTTCCAAACGTTAGAAAACATAAGGTAAATGTCTTTTTTTCATTTTTAGAACTAATGTCAAAACTTACCATGTTTATGTTAGTACTTACCATGTTTATGTTAGTACTTACCATGTTTATGTTAGTACTTATCAGGTATATGTCAGAACTTACATGTTTATGTTAGTACTTACCATGTTTATGTTAGTACTTACCATGTTTATGTTAGTACTTATCAGGTATATGTCAGAACTTACCATGTTTATGTTAGTACTTACCATGTTTATGTTAGTACTTACCATGTTTATGTAAGTACTTACCATGTTTATGTTAGTACTTATCAAGTATATGTCAGAACTTACATGTTTATGTCAAAACTTACCAGGTTTATGTCAGAATATTGTTTTCAAGGTTTATTTCAAAACTAATCAGGTATATGTCAGAACTTACTTGTTTATGTCGAAACTAATCAGGTTTATTTCAGGACTTATCACATTTATGTGAGAATATTGTTTTTAATGTTTATGTTAAAACTTATAAGGTTTATGTCACAATCTTAATTCATGTTAAATGTCTTTATTTATATTTAGAACTTATGTCAGAACTTATCAGGTTTATGTCAGTACTTATCAAGTTTATGTCAGAACTTATTAGGTATATGTCAGAACTTATTAGGTATATGTCAGAACATACATGGTTATGCCAAAACTTATCAGGTTTATGCTAGAATATAGTTTTCAAGGTTTACGTCAAAACTTATCAGGTATATGTCAGAACTTATCAGGTATATGTCAGAACTTACATGTTTATGTCAAAACTTATCAGGTTTATGTCAGAATAGTGTTTTCAAGGTTTATGTCAAAATTTATCAGGTTTATGTCAGAATATTGTTTTCAAGGTTTATTTCAAAACTTATCAGGTTTATGTCAGAATACTGTTTTCAAGGTTTATGTCAAAACTTATCAGGTTTATGTCAGAATATTGTTTTCAAGGTTTATTTCAAAACTTATCAGGTTTATGTCAGAATATTGTTTTCAAGGTTTATGTCAAAACTTATCAGGTTTATGTCAGAATATTGTTTTTAAGGTTTATGTCAGAATCTGATTTTATACTTTCAAAATTAGATACCCCTAAGATGAAAGAGATCTGTACATGATATCATAAAGTACACACAGTACACGTACAAATAAGCATGCGCTCTCCGAACGTCATCTTCATGATCTTTTGAACAACCATATGTGTTGTAGTTATGTTTTTGACAACAACAAAAAAACAATCGAACGGTTTAAGTAGGCGATGAGGCTGTTTTTAATTGCATTCTTATTTAATTTCAATTTTCATGCAAAAGAAATTTAAAGCTTTTGTCGAATCTTGATCTTTTAATAGGCATTTCCCCCGAGTTCCTGCATAAATGCAATAGTCATTTGATTACTAAGTTTACCTTAAATCAATAAACACAAAATGATAAATAACAAACCTAAAAAGAAATATTCATCAAATATATGTCCCTTTCTATCTCAACCCTGGCGGTAAAAGACAGCATAATTACAGTATTTTTCATTAAATAAGACTTTTGTGCATTTAACTCTACCGGGGACGAATGTTCACTTCATGTGATTTCAAATTAACTTATCTAGACATTTTTTCCTCACAAGTAATTATTTTTTTATGGAATTAAACAGGTTTTGATCAAGAAAGTCGTAAAACTCAAATCATTTAGAGTGTGCATTTAAAATCCTTTTTGTCATTTGATTCAGGCCAAAGAATATACTTTTTTTCAACCTTGGAAAACACCAATCGTCCCTATGAACCCAAAGCAAAATACAACAAAACAGAAATTAAAAAAAAAATTAAATTAAAAAAGACCTGGGGTCTGTTTATCGAAGCTATCCTAGGATTTGTCCTAAGACATATCTTGGAAATAAATTAGAATAATGTTTGAACCGACTTACGACATGTCTCAGCATGCACATCAAGTCTATCTCAGGACTATATTAGCTAGGATGTCCTTACCGCTGTGCTAAGTGTTTGAGGAAAGCAAAATGGGATATAAAAATTAAAGATGAAAATGCATCGATTTTCACCAGTAGTAAAAATTTTTAGATTCAAAATTAGAATTATCATTAGTATTATTATAAAGATGATAAATAATATTTATTAAATAATTGTACATTTAAACTTTATGATACAAAAACAGAAACACAAAAAAATGTAAATACGTTTTATGTATATGTAAGAGAATGATAATCCCTTTCTTCATGATTAAGTACGAGCGTTAGCGAGTACTTATCATGAAGTAATGGATTATCATTCTCTTACAAACTTAGAATATTGTAAAGTGCTCAAGGCTCAAACGATCTCTTAATTTGTTGTATTTAAGAATTAGTTGCATTGTCAGTGCAATGTTTATAATTAATGCATGACTCCTTTTTGGGCATTCATTTATGGATTAGTTCACAACAGAACAAAGAAAATGTAGAAATTGTATATGTTTCCTGATTGTGAGTATGAATGTAAATCATGTAATATTTTAGTGAGGAATTATCCTTTTTTTTAATTTAGTTTAAATCAATTGATACATTTGAGTTACAACTAAATTTTATTTAACAGCCAATATTTTGGTCCGGTTTTCACATCAAATACTATTTCATTATGTCAGGGAAATGTTCAAATAAAATGCCTTTTATAAAAGTTTTTTAATATGTTCAAGACTTAAATTAAATTCTTGTTTTTTTTTTCATCGGAATATTGGAAAAAACTATTCTTCCAAACCGCTGATCCAGTGATCAAAGTTTTGGAAAGCTAAAGATTGAGGTATTTTTTTTTATTTTTTTGAAAATGCTTTGATATTGTTTAATTATTTAGTAATTTGAAGTTATTAGTATTTTCATAATAACATTCACGGTGCCAATTTTACTGCACAGTAAACTTCAACTTATTTTGAGTTTTTTGTTTGTTTCACAATTCAACTTCTAGTCAGTTTCAATCACTGTGTGGTAAATCCTTTCAATCGGATAAATGTGCTTCGGGGCAGTTGTAACTCATTTATAGAAACTCTTTGTTTTGAACTGTAAATAGACCCACATAATAGGATAATCCTTTACTAAGAACATGATTTACATTCATTCTTTACAATTAAGAGGCATCAAATCCTATAATTTCATTGGTCGAGAGCACTTTGCTATATTCTAAATAAGAATTAAACAACTTATTTGTAAATAGTGACAACTAAATATATATTGTTGAGTGAGTTTAATTCGAAGTGTCACGGTTTTATACTTTAAAGAGTTCAAAGGCAAATCTCATGTATCTTTTATACAAATACGGAGTACGTAAATTATTTCATTACGGATCACAGTTACTTGGGGAATGGCACCCTTTTTTCTGGATCTTTTTTTTTGTGTGTGTTTTAACCTCTTTTAAGTAATTACTCTTTAAAATTTTAACTTTTTTTTAATATATATATAACTGTTATTGTAATAACTTTTGAACAAGTGAAAGAACACATTAAATAAGTGATAATCTTTACTTGCGTATATTATCAATGTCACCTAAATAGTTCAGTTGATTATTAAAGTCCCTTAGCGGGTTATTTCTATGAATAAAAAATATTTATACTTCTCCCTAAATAAACATATATAGGCGGCGGTTGTATTTATAAAGTTTAGACCATCCTAAGACAACTTTAAGACACCTAAATGGCGGTTCGATAAACATGCCCCAGTTATCCGCTAAAGTAAGATCATGAGTGCTTCTACAATAAAAAAAAAAGAAACCTAATGAAAACTACATATGAGGTGTAAATGATATAATCATTCCATATATGCATTTAGTGTGTATGTGCTTTTCGTCTGCTGTTTTAAGATAGATTTGGGTACGGTGAGAGTGGGGAGGGGGTTGGGTAAAGAAAACTTTTTTCTATGGTGTAGTATTATAACAAATTGTTCATCTTAATGACCATTGAGACCAGGCTTTAGCTCAAACTAATACATCCAGACCCAGGCCAAAGCAAAACCAGTTTAATCAAATCAGACATTAGTCATAGCAAGGCCAATGAAACATAAAAACAGCAAAAGACCCTTTCTCAGTTGCTAACCATACGAAATGAAAATAATTCATATTCAATAGGAAACGTATACTGTTGTTTCGACTTCCTTGTCAATTGTCAGGCAATATATTAATGTGCTTTTTTCTTTACTACTTCTACACTAAAAACAAGTAAAAATCCTTCAGTACATTTTGTTTCAGAAAATATTATTTATGCTTTGGTGAAAAATGCAAAACTTTATTTCAAATTGCGACATTCAATTGTGAATTGTGTCCATCTAAATTTTATCTTTAATTGAAGAATAACGAGTTTTCAAATGTCATATAAATTGTTTCAATCAATCGATAAAAGTGCGTGGTGTCATAATTAATGCAATTCTTCTATTTTGATTGCAATCAAATATGATTTACACCGTTGCACAACATACTGATACTGCAAATAACAGAAATGAAATATTGACAATTTATCCATTCTAATTGCTGCTTGTAGAAAGTAAACGTGTGTTATGGTCGTTTATTTGTACTAACTTGAAATTTCATTTGAAATGCTTTACTTTTGAGCTGAACAAATAATTTTCTTTTATAAAAAAAAAGAAAAACGCTTGAGACTATTAGCATATTATATAACCAGTATGGTCATATACCGGTGAAGTTCCGTTTTGGTGATGGCAAAGAACGTTTTTCGTCTAATAGATTCTTACACTTGTATAAGCATAGGGCGTTCATCTATAACGAATTTTATTTAGCCTACGGCATGAGTACCTGTTTCGTACTGATTGGTGTCAACTCTTAAGTAATGCTGCTCGGTTATTAGAGGAATTACA